CTCTCTCTCTCTCTCTCTCACACACACACACAGATATATATATATATATATATATATATATATATATATATATATATATATATATATATATATAATTAATAGGGATACCGGCGTTGCTCGGGATTTAAAAAGTTAAAATATATCTATAACGATAATATAAGTTCAAATTCATTTATTCAAACCACAAACTATCATTACACAGTCGTAACATGACAATACTTCTTGGTGGAAAATATTCTTTGTCTTTGTGCAGCATAAACAGACAAATTGGTTTTACTTCCCACACGTGAACTACGAATATACAACTGCCCATGAGATGAACAGGATTCTTTTAACTGTAGTCCAGTAACCGATAGTCTGGCCATGAGCTTTGTTAACAGACATATAGCAAAACTTGTTCATTATCTATTTTTATGAATAAATGGATTTTTTAAAAGTTTTTGGTTCAAGAGTATATGACACTATTATAGGGATTTCCACTAATTTAACAACAAATGGCATACCTATAGTTTAAAATTAATTAAAAAAAAATCGTTCTTGAAGCTTTCTTTTTAGCTTTACTTCAAAGGTAAAGGAATAAATTTACTATACCAAGTAAGCAAAATAATTTGGGTGTATTTAAAACGGAATTTATATTGATTGGAATAAAGTTTTTTTTTTTTTTCAGTAAAATCGATGATGTCTGCTATTTTAAAACATTTGTAGACAAAAGTTAAATTCTCCGTTTTAAAAATCTGGTAAAATATACATTTCTCAAACAGCATTTGGGTAAAATTAGAAAATTTAAAGTTTACTTAATCTAATTTGAAACAAACAGTACTTACTTTTTAGCAGAAAAATATGTAGTAGAAAATAAGAAAAACATTTCTTAACTACGGTGCCTCATTTGTCAGGTGTTGATTGATTGCATTCACAGCTGAGGTCAGGAGAAGTCATCGGATGGATGAACAGAAGTGATAAATTTTACGTATTTTAAGTGTACTTATTTAAATACCAAATAATTTTTACAAATTAAGAAATATCTTAAGCAATCTAATATTTTTTTAATTATTATGTACTCTAGATTTATAGCGTTACGCTTGAAGATGCTTTCTGGAAAATAATAATAATGCTATATAACAATAAAATAAATCTAAAATTTTATAATTAAGATAATATAAAAAGTAATATAACAAAATTTCATAAATAATAGAGGTACCTTCAAGTTTTACGTACCTCTCTTATGAAATTTTATGGTATTTTATTTATATTTTTTTTATTTTATCTAAGGAAATTTTAAAACACGTGACTTTTTAATGATGATGTAATGTATAAACATCCGTATATCTAAAACAAAAGGCATGTTTATACACATCCACAAACGATGTAAAATTATTTTTTTAAATACTGCTCTTATGCAGATTGTAATAAGCTGTTAGAATTATGATTACTAAAAATAGTTTTACTTAATAAAAGTACATTAAAAATAAATTATAAAAGATTTAACAAATTTATAAATTATTGTAATTAACATTGTAAAAAAAAAACAATTCATGTAAAAATTCATTTTTTATCGGAGTTTTTTTTTACTTTAGAAATTATTATCCTTAACATGTATTATTCATAAAAGCAATTTAAAAGCTTTTCTGGCTCAATAATGTTTTAGTATTACTGGGTTTTGTATTTTACAATTCAGAACTGATTTTCGATAACCCGTCGTTCGATTTTTAGTTTGTTTTTATTATTCTTCTTGTTTAAGTTTTTTTTCTTTTATTTGTTTTTTTTTATTATACTTTATCCTTTATTAATTTATTTTATTTTTGGACCATCTTTTGAATTAATTTTTTAACGCCCTCTCAGAGAAAAACGGGGGTGGATTTTATTGAAGGTTGGTGTCTACAATTCACCGACTTTTCTTTATAAAAAGACGTGTACTCGGTCATATATATATATATATATATATATATATATATATATATATATATTGAAATTTATGAGGGGAACGTTCTCAATATCGGAGACAGTATGTTTGCAATGCACTACATTCTGGATATGGCATTGCTGCGTGGGACTGACAATCACCATACAATGTTCATTTCTATATCCTCACGTTTCTATCTATCTATCTATCTATCTATCTATCTATCTATCTAGGACAATCAAAAATAATTTCACAAAATTTGGAGGCGAGTATCTCACACCAAAAGAAGAAAAAAGTATATATATAAACATATGACCGCAAATCCTTCGTTTTAAGTTTAAAGAAATCCTTCGAGTTAAGTTTAAAGAAAGTTTACGGTAGATGACGCTGTGTTGCTATGTAGAGTAGGTTACATTTGTCATTCGTGTAAATGTGTGGCTAGTCTGACTTCAACGTTTAATGTGTGTAGTAGTGAGTTAACGGAGAAGGCAGATATGATTTTTACATACGGCCGCGTGAATATTAATGGACGCGACGCTTCACGGCTGTATCAGACTGCGTTTCTAGACCAAAGGCAGCCTAGTCATCACTCAGCACGGGATAACTTTTGCCGATGGTTTATGGAACAAACGGCCGATCATTTCTTTGTCTCTTCCGTCTTGTTCACGGATGAGGCAACATTTGGTAGAGATGGAATAACAATTTTACACAAACAACATTTGTAGCCGGATCTCCATAGTGCAATACAGTCTAGATGCCAGCATCAGTTTACGATTAATGTGCCGGCTGGAATTGTAGGTGACTGTCTGGTAGGTTCATATGTTCTCCCAGTACGTCTTACAAGAGCTGTCTACAGGGATTTTATTTCGAACACACTTCTAGGCCTGCTAGGTGATGTACCCCTGCTAATACCAATACGCATATGGTTCATGCATGAGGGGGCTCCAGCACATTTTAGCCACACTTTTCGCGAGGTATTGGTTGACATGAAAGATGGATATGTAGGGGAGGATCGGTTCCATGGCATGCATGTTCTTCTGACCGTAATCCTTTGGATTTTTATCTGTGGGGCCACCTAAAACAATTGGTTTATGCAGCAGACATTAATAATCCAGAGACGCATCATCCACGTGTCATGGGTGCCAGCGAAACCACTCGACACTGTGTTGGAGTATTTGAAAGGGTTCGCCAGTCAATGATCCGACGGGTAGCATGCGTGTATAGAATCAAGCGGGGATATTTTGAACATTTGTTATCAATTGCTGTGTTGAGATGCAACAATGACCTTTTGTATATATGTATATATGGGCATTTTGACTTGTGTTGGTGTCAGAAAACTGCTCCATATGTTTGTAAAAGTGTTTTGATACCCCTTGAATATATAAACGTATATATAAAACAGGCTTTGAATCTCATAAAAGTCGATTTTGTCAGGGCTCTGGTTTCTTTATATATATATATATATATATAGCCGTCTCTTCTACTCCAATAGCTTCATGTCTCGCACCTCTCGCCTGTGGAACTCCCTTCCCTATTCCTGTTTCCCTGTGAGCTATAATCTCCAGCTATTCAAGTGTAATGTCAATCGACATCTCCAGTTGCCTTGATCTATCCACTACCCTCATCCTTTCTTCTATCACTCCTATCTGATCTTGCTCTAAATTTTCTGTAACCTCTTGCGTCCTAGTGGCTTCCCACCTTGCTTGGGGTGAAATGCTTAATATATATATATATATATATATATATATATATATATATATATATATTCTAAAAAGTAATGGATTTTGTATTTACTAACCCGACAGATTTTATCATTTTAAATGTTAGTTTTATTGGATACAGATATTTAATAGACTCCCCGTTTATTTAATATACTGTTTAATAACAGGGGTTTCTACTGAAATATGAGTATCCACTAAAAAATAGCCTTTAAAGTGATATATATATATATATATATATATATATATATATATATATATATATATATATATATAAATTTTGTTTTTACTTAAATAAAAGACTTACTTCCTTACAAATACTTAAATACTTAAGCACATACCTGTAAAAGTACATATACAGATATACATACTCCCCCTCTGCACGCACACAGACACAAGCAAACACACACACATATACATTTCACGCCTAAACTTTGACATATATATCTATATCTATATCCATCTATATATATATATATATATATATATATATATATATATATATATTTCCAAGAAGATAAAATCCAGGTAGAGCTCTATGTACAAGACAGAGCAAGATTATAAAAGGCTTAAACACTAATATTCCATGGTTATTGAATGAATTGGATCGTGATTACGATTCCAATGTAATAAATTATAACCATGGAATATTAGTGCACAATATCCGGGATAGAGCGTATGTAAATAGAAAAGTGGACATTGAAGTCAATTGCCAGAGGACAATTACGTTTAGCCTGAAGCAGACTGTCGTTTCTGGGTGTTGATTTCAATGTCACTTTATATATATATATATATATATATTTCCCCCTAGTGTAGGATCGTTAATTAATCTGAAACTTTTAAAACCATTTATTTTCTTTGCAACATCATCACTTGATAAGACACAGAGTGTGTGAAAACAAAATGGCTATTTTTGTAGTGATCTTATAACATACTTATGTTATAATTTTTTTTTATATAAAAATAATTATATATATATATATATATATATATATATATATATATATATATATATATATATATAGGGTAACATGTATTCGTTCGAAGATCTATTTCTAATAACGAACAAATGTTGATATCTTTTCTGTATCAAAGGTTGAATTTTACAAACTTTATTATACTTTAGCAGAATTTTTTTCGAGGAGCTACAAAATCTGACGTTTAATACTGAACTGCTGACTTCTCAGTATACAACTTAGTATATTAATTTAACTTTTGTTTTTTTTATTTGGCTACCGCAATCAATTTGACCCTAAAAGGGCTTCACTCTCATCTTCAGCCATTGGGTTAAGAGCTCAGTACATTTTACGCCTAAACTTGTAACATCAAACTGAAAGAGAAACACAATTGTTTTCCCGTCACACCTGATTCTATTTGTGGGT